TACAAACAAAAAAAAACAGAAACAACCACAGAAAGTGGTAATAGCTAGCCAGCAATTCATATACCAAAGGAAAAAGGGAAAGGCTAATAAGTTAAAATATGTTTGGCAAACCAACCCCTCTTGTTCTCCAGGTCAAAACCCTTCCTTACCCACCTATTTGTTTGGAAAGCCTTGCCTTAAGAGCACAGTCTGCATTGCACAGTAAACACACTGCCTTACTAATGAGACCCCAAAAGTGGCTGCAGCAGCAAAGTGTCAGTAGATGTAAACAGAAATAACATCAATGTTCACACATTCTGAACATAAAGGCTAGGAAAACGTTTCAATATTTAAAATCTACCTGCAGATTATTCCACTTGATCACAGAATAGATGTTTACGTGCTTTAAGAAGAAAACTTCTATTCCTTTATATGAAGCATATACATATATTTATATATATATAAAACCTACATTAATTTCAGACATTTACTTTCACAAATGCTACAATAAGGCATATGTAAAAAGTGAGGTGAGAGAACTATGCCTCAAGCAAAACAGAAGATTTGGTTATGACTACCCCAACACGACCAATAACATTATTTCCCAGGAGACAGAGAAGGAAGAAAAAGAAAAGCCAACAGAAAATACTGAAGCACATTTTTTAATATTTCAAGAAGAAATGTAAAAAGATGAGAATATCTGAAAGTGGAAAGCTCAAGCACAAATTAATTTCCTAACTGTTAACTGTGGAATTAGTCCACTCCAGGAGCAACCTAGATGTTTGCACATATGCACACAACTAAGCTTATTCAAGAAGAGAACTATGAAAAGGTTTGAAGGGTTTTTTTTCCTCTCTCTCCATTCTCCCAACAGTTCAACACAACTGGAAGAGACCATGTCTCTGCAGCAATAATACATTGACTTCTACCCTTCCCACATTACAACCTTTCCATTACACCAAACAGATATGGCAACAACAGGTTTTGTCTTTTTCTGTGACAACTCTAGAGAGGTGAAGACTAAAATTAGTCAGCAGTTCCAGGTGAAAAAGTTGTCTGTGTTGTTAGAGCTCATATTCATTTACCCATCCTACCTGGGTATAATTTAACATATTGGCATAAAACTAAGTGATTTCATTGTGCTGGCTGAAGCATAGAGAACTTGCACTTGCCAGTCTAAATATGGCACATTTTGTGAGCTCCTTTTAAAAAAAATGAAATAAATTGAAAATAATTGCTTTCTGTCTAAAATGTCACCTATGTGGATACACACACTCCTATACATACATTCAGCACTATTTACTTGTGCTGTTTTCCCCTGGTAAGTGTTTTTATACTAACTTTGACATAGCTTTAAAAGGGATATAAAACATTGCTTTCTCTCCAGAAGTTACTTCTAGTGGTACCAAGTATTTTAAAACTTATTTCTGTTTCATAGCTTTTAGTCACAATCCTTCCACATTTATTTCTCAAGGGAGGAAGTTTTCTCATACAAATATTTCAAAGTTTTTCTCAAGTAGTACACTAAAATATTACTTTATTTACATATTTTTCATTATGCTACTTCTTAACATCTGCCTAAAGAGAATCTGTAATAAAATTTTGGCTATAGCTTTCAGTTTTCAAGTTTTCTTTGGAGATTTTACAGCTAAGTTGCCAATGATAACCCAACATTAAAAATTTTTAAATGGACTTTTTACAAGACTCTTAATATTCATCATCTCAACAGGATCTTGAACACTTTGCTGGAATCTTGACAAGACTTCATTTACTGTATAGATCACAATGGGTTGAAACGCTAGTTCTGCTTTATATTGCTTTACATGGTATCAAACAAAAAAACCTCTAAAACAAGAACTTTTACACATGAGATCACAGGGAAATTTTCATATTTGTATTTTTAAATATCAGAGAAGTACAGAAAGTCTCCCTAATTCCTCATGTAAAAGATGAGAAGAATGTCAAAGCTGGAAAATATTTGTAACTTGACTCAGTTAAATGGCAGGTTTGCTCAGCTGCAACTCAGTATTCACCCTGCCAATTTAGACTGTTAAGTGATGCCCAAATAAACATATCTTAATCCAAACATACACAGAAATATTGTGCATGGTCTTCAGATGGTGTCAATCATAACAGAGCTGTTGAGATCCATAGAGCTAAGACTCTTTTTTCCAAGGTAGAATGGTGGCCCATTGAAATGGTTTTGCAGCAAAAACAGAGATTAGGAAGAAATATTACTTCCCAATAAATATTACTTCCCAAATTTCATACAGCTCTCTGGTGAACAGTTTCCACCTCACTTTGATAGCTGAATGCATGCAGGTGTAAATTAGTCAAACGTGTCAGTCTGTTTGCTAGTTAAAAATCATTGGCAGTTCATATACCACAATTTTACTTTTATATATATATATATCTATATCTATATCTATATATATATATATCTTACTTATAACCTCTCTAATGCTTTAGCTTAAACATTTAAACTAAGTTCTCTGTTTCTGTATGATGAATTTATCAACACTACTTACAAAAGCTGAAATTTACTTAAAACCCTATTCTTGGAAAAATGAGTGTTTCTATAACTTTGAAAATTTTGTAAGCATACTAAAGTAATACCACATCTTTGGTTTCCATCCCAAATATTTCCCTATAGTATACAATCAGTATTACGGACATGCAAAATACTCTGATTTTATTTTTACCTTATATTTGGAGCTGTCAAAGGTAAGTAAACGATCTGGTGACTAAGTCTATTTCACTTTGCAAAGGCAATACAATAGAGTGCTTATTTTTAAATGACATTTGAAATCAAATTGGGATGCAAAGTGTATGGGCTTCAGTGTAATTCAGTGTTCTGTGTTACTGCAGTAATTACTTAAATGTGAATTCAGTGTAATATGATATTTTAGAAAACATTTTTTAAGAAGCAATCCTGATGGACTGAAGCATATCACACCTTTTTTTAAGGTAAATTAAAACCAAGTTATTTTATAGCTGCATGATTTAACTAATTAAATTTAAAGTTATTATGATAATATATTAATCATAGCAGCATATGCAGGATTATAAACTTTGCCACAATTGCACAGCTGAATCAGCCCAATGTTGGCCCAACACCTCACACTACACAGTCTGTGGATTCAATTCTGGCTCTTCTTAGGTCAGTGGCAAAATTCCCACTGAATTCACTGCATCCAGAATTTTGGTCCACGTGCCTAGCTACTGTGTAATACCCACATAAGATAGGTACACAACTTAAAGGAATCTCATCAACATGTCAGTCCCTACTACCAGCATCACAATCAGAATTAATAGGATAAATATTTGCAATTACTTTTAAACAACCACCTTTCTTTCTAAATGGATAACACTTTTTTTCCTCAGAGAATTTACTTAAGAGGATCTTTGATATCCACTAACAAAATCTGTGCTCTGACTTTTAATTTGCTTCCAAAGAAGCAAAATGGAAAAGAAGATGTTGCTGTAGAAGCGTTCCAGCTCAGAAACATCCAGGTGACAATCAATAGAAGAAACACTGAGTTTGCTTTCATTTCAGACCTGGACTTGTATTGTGTATTACTTGTGTATTACTTTCTTAGCAAGCATTTTCCCAAAACACCAACACCAGACTCCCCACCATCCCAACATCTTTGTTATCAAGATTACTGAATGACCTACAGCAACCTCTGGACTTGTGAAGAGTACAAATTACTCCTTCAGCCAAATTAGTTTCTCAGGAAAAGACACGAAGTTGCTTTGGGGACAAACATAAACAACAACAACCAAACACAAACTGACGCAGAACTCAAGCACAACTTAAACTGTTACTTTACGCATAAAGGATTAGGTCAGAGACTTCTGCAAACCCACTTACCCGAATAGTGGGTTTACAACCCAAGGGGGAACACACAGCTAGAACAAATTCTAGTGGGATTTCCAGAATTGCAACCAGATCCACAAACAGTTGGGTTTGTTCCTCAAAGCAGAGAACAGTGACAGCCAAGCAGTACAGTAAGAGAACTGTACACGACAGATTTGGCTCTGGGTAAACTGCATTCAGTGTTTAGCACACAAGGGTCATGAACCTCAACATTTGTTTTCAGTAGTTCGTGGAACACCACTCCACTCTGTGTCTTCAAAGTCAGGATGTGATTTTGGGAGAACTGTCTGTATATGCTGTTTAGCCTTCAAAGAGAGCATCTGTCTCTCCGAACAAGTGAGGAAGAGACAGCAGCATACAGGGCAATATTTTCAACAGTGCTTTCCGGGCATTAAGATCGTGAAAGCCAAAAGAGATTTCGAGGACTCTTCTCAGGTTCACTGACGTTTGCCAGATTAGAAATGCTTTCTGCAGGAATTATCAAAGAAGCCGCTGTCAAAGCGAGATGCCAAAACGCGCGCGAACGCAGCTCCTCTCCTTTCGCCTCGGCAAATAAAAGACATAAGGCGCAGCCCGGCGGAATTTGGGAGCAGGGAGCTCCTCTCCCTCCGCACCCGGCGGAGGAGAAAGGAGAAAAGGATCCCGCTGCCCCCGAGGGTCCGAGCGGGTAATACAAGTCTCAGGCAAGTTGGCTCCGAGGCTGCCCCGCGCGGACCTCGGGCTCCCGTCCCAGCTCGGCGGGCGCCCCGCCGAGCCCCGCCGCGGCCGCCCCCTTACCGTGCCGGGGCTGGGGCTTAGAGCCCGGCGGCTTCTCCTTCCTGCCGCCCGCCGCGCTCCGCATCCGCCAGCACGCCGCCCCCCTGCCCAGCGCGCCGGCCATGCCGCGGGCGGCACCGCGATCGCGGCGGGAGCGCGCGGGGGCGGCGGCGGAGCGCGGGGCGCGCTGCCCGGCGGCGGCGGGAGCGGCGCGGTCCCCGCGGACCCGCCTCCGCCCGGGCCGGCGTCAATCAGCGCGGGCAGGCAGCGCCCAGCCCGGGCAGCGCCGCCCCGCGCCCCCCGCCCCGCTCTCCGGAGCAGCCCTGGGGACGGCGCCCGCCCCCCTGCCCGGCCGGGTCCGTGCGCCGCCAGCCCCTGCCCCTACCGCGGCGAAGGAGAGCATCGGAGGCGGCGGTGATGGGCTCCTGGGATGAGAAGAATTCCGCGCTTGGGAAATGACAGCCCTCGGCACAAACCTCCTCCTGCCCGCCGGCAAGTCCTCCTACAGCACCTTCCCTGAAAAACATGTGTACGTTACCTCCTGCCATCAAAATCATTGGTTGTGCACACTCCTGACTCCATACCGATGAGTAACTCAACCTGAGATTCCCACTTCCCACAAGACCATGTGTGGTGAGACAACAGCCTGCCTCCTTCCCTCCCTCACCTCCTCGGAGCACCCTCTTCTTCCTCCCTAGAGTCCCGGGGACTCCTCCGGCCATCGAGTTCCTCCCCTGGCTTTGGCGAGGGGTCGCCAAAATTTCTGTAGAAGGATTATTGCAGTGCAAGAAACATAATGCGCATAACTTTTGTTTGCAACCTTAGTAATAAATCCCTTTGTATATCAAATTATAGTAGTGACTGCAGCAGCCCTGAAAAGTTATTCCATGGTTGATTTCTAATTTTTCATACCCCTATATATATGTGTGATCAGCACTTCCACAAAATGTATCCTTCTTTCTATATGGACATAGAAATACAGAGAAAATGTATGCAGAATTTGCACTGATTGAAAGAGGAGGAGGGAGAGAGAAGAAACATAAACCCTTCTTCATGTGCCACTATATTCCATCTCTGTTTCCTTGATTTCAATAAACTTGTGGAGAAAAATAATTAGGATTTGTTATCATAATTTTAAAACTCTATTTGGGAACTAACTGAGATCCAAGTTGTGATATTTTAATTAAAATTTCATTGTGAAAGACTCTTCAGCTTTGAAACTCAAACAGCCAAGGTGTAAAGGAGCTCTAGCTGGCCCACAGCAGCACTGTTTTGTCATCCAGTTAAAAATCATCCTCCTTCTTCTCAATGCCCACAGCCTCCACCAACAATCTCCCAACACCCAATCTCCACCAACAGCCCCTGTTAAGCTCTCATCCATCCCAAGCCCCGATGTCTCAGCCGTTCTGCCTCACCTGTGAATTGTGCTCAGGAGTCAGGAGTGTCACAAGCCTGCCAGAGCTGTTGGTGTTCCAACACGCTGCACCAGGGGTGTTTTTCATTAGTGCTGAGAATGATTCATGTGAGCAAGGATCACTGACCTTGACCTCACATGCACAGATACACCCTGTGGTGATGAATGTAATAGAATAAACAGTTAGATACGACTGCTTATTCCCTCTTGCAGTGTTGTTCTTGCCCAACTCTGTTGCTCTAGAATACAAATAATGACTCATTTGCTTACCCTCATAACACCACATTTAGAAACCTGCTATTCATCTCTGCTTGAAGGGTCTTGAATAAATATACTCCCAAAACGGCTGATTTAAATCACATATATTTTTATCTCTTGACACTGTTTCTGTTGTTATTGATAAAGACTACACAAGTGGGTGTGTGGTGTATCATGTCACCGCTGAGGAAGTTTTTTATAGTGAATGGTCTTTTGTTAAATTTACTTCTATAAGAGTATTTACACAGGGGAGAAGGAAGAAAGAAAAACAAAGGAAAATACATCTGGGGATCTATCTCTTTTTGCTAAGAATAAGAAAACCCTACAGCAAGTATTTGGAATGCAAATGAAAAATAGAGTATAAAAGTGTTTTGTAGGGAGCAATATTTTTAAATGTTGTAAACATATATTCCACATAAAACAAAGTATCAGTGAGGAGGAAAACTGCAGTAGTTGTATGCAGATTTAATATTCCAGAACAACCTTAATAAATATGGGGGAAAAAGGGAAAAAGAAAAATAAAAATAAGACTCTTACCAATCTGACATACTTAATTTGTCACTGTGAAAAGAGGTAACTTTGCAGAAGCTTCCACAGCTGAACAAACATATTTGCAACCCCCCCCCTGAAAAATTGATTTTTTATGTTATCAAAATCAAATGTTTTTCTTTTTTAAAGAGGGAAAGAGACAAGAGTCTTCTTAAATATTATTGTTCAGTGTACTACCTGTGATTTGACAGATCATCATGCTTCATCGTTTGCCAACAAAAGGTGGAATTGATAATATGAGAAGCCTCTGTTGAAAAGGTGCAGATATAATAAAATTATAATACTGAAGAGCTACATCTGTGTTTCATACTGTAATTTCTTTGCCATGGCACCATAGGTTTTAAGCTAATTTTTTTTAGTCTTGTTTATGTTTCCTGCTCATTTAGCATTGGAGATGTACAACTGTTTCCATGTATTAACTTGGGGCTGTTTTTCCACTGGCAAATGAGTATTTGGGTGCCGTATCTCTGTTCAGCATGTCCTTTGAACATAAGCACAAAACAGACTGGTGGTTTGAATGCGTGTTCTAAATTTTGCTTTTGCTGAACAGACTTATTCAGACCCTCACAAATAGGAGCACTGCACTGCCATACTTGCTTTTTTGCTTAGGCATCTGTTGTTTTACCTAAGAACATTATGGAAGCATTTCCAATAGTACTGGTTCCCAGTGCTGAAATTATTAAACTTGCTTCCTTTGGAAGGGGAAATACACAGTACATTCTGAGGGCATGACCTCAAATTGGAAAGGCTTCAGCTCAGAACAAGGAAGCAATTCACCTCTAATCCAGAAGACTTGGATTCTTCTGTTCCTTCCTACCTTCCAGTTCAATACTTGGTGTCTACATCCTCATACTTTACCATTAGTGCGAATTTTCTCTGTTATTTTTGTTCTGATTACATCTCCTAATTTGGTCAAACAGAGAAAAGCTGGTTGAAGAAAGAAGTAGTTACCAAAATTACACTGACTCCTTGCAGACCACCACTTGACATTCCACATGGGAATCTATGCCCCTACAGAAGATGCCTTGAGGTTACAAAGCACCACAAGAGATTTTGTACAAACCACACAAAAGCTAAATACCAAGCAGTATATCTTTTGCTTTTTATTTTTATTTATTTTTTTTAACTGCACACACCTACCTGTCTGCAGCTGCCCTCCTCTGCTCTGTGTAGGTGCAGAGCTGCAACAAAGCAGCTGAACTGGCACTCATCCCCCCACTTGCTCTTTCACATCAACCTCAGCTGTTTTCATGCACTGTTTTGGATCACCCAGTGTAGGCTCTTCTTGTGCTTCCTGGTGCTGGAGGAATTGGAAAAACAGCAGGGTGTCTTTGGTTGCAGCTGCAATGCAACACAAGGCACAGAGCAGGAGTTAGGCTGTGGTGGCTCTTGCCCTTACAATAGAGGTGTTCACCCTACCACAACTTTATAATCCTTTGTATAATTGATCTGAGTCTTATTTCTTCCATGTGCCAGGGGCAGCTATGCACATAAAAGTCCAGCAAGGATACTCTGTGCCTGCACAGAGGGCAGCAGGGATCCCCACTAGCCCAAAACCTTAAGATTGCTGCTGGCCAGAGCTGTTTGAAGCAGGCTTCAAGGCTAATCTTAAACAAGTCATATTTTTGGCTTCTTTTGCTCATAATTATTTTACAAACCTGGGGGTAGGTTTAAAAGGCTAGCTAAGTCATAGAAAAAGAACATGCAATGATGACAGATCTTAGTACCAGAAGTTTGACAAAAACAGACAGCCATTAAAATCACGTTCAACGAAGCAGAAATAGTGATTTATCCTTGTATCTACAAAATAGAATTTTTAGGTTACATATGCAAAAATTAAAGTACACTTGAAGTCCCAGAATATTTCTTTTAAGTGTAATATTGTTTATCCTACTCCTAGAAACTAGGGAAAAAATAGATAACTGTGAAACAAGTCACACTGCAAAAGAACATTTTTGTTCCCTATACCCTTGCCTGTGCTTTGTTTTACCCATTTTTGTTCCTTCAGTTATTACTCCTAACACCAGAAAAGTTGTTTCCCAGCGAATGGAAGTGAAGGGCTACATCCAATGGGTAATACAGAAGATACAATCCATAAACTGCACCTACACATTTCATGCTGCATAGACTTTGATCCAGTTGACTGCAAAAAGCAATCAAGGATCTGCCCAAAGAATCAGAGGTGCTGGATAGATGCATCAGATGGATAAATATGGAAGTTTAGGAAGCCCACAGGATACAACTTTGCCCTTTGAGCATTTAAGCTACTATTCTAGGAGCTCAAATATCAAATGATCCTATTACATATTGAACCTCCTGCCAAAAGTAAATTTTTTTCCAAACTTTTACACAAATCTGATCAGAGGGACTTACTTGAATCATAGTCCTGTCTCTGAAAGACTTTTTGTTGCAGGACAGACTTGCCTGCATGCTTTTGTCTTTTCATTCAATATGAAGAAAAAACTACAAGATTTGTAATCTCAAGTTCATTTATCCCAGATGCCAGAGATATTTCAATATTTTACTTTGTAACTTACAGCAGGCTGGGGAAACTGCATGTACAAATACATCACTAACACAATGAGCAAACATTTAGAGATAAGTGTATGTATTTACAGGTACCACAACTTAGTAGCTCACAAATAAGCAGGGGGGTTTCTGAATGAAATAAAAGTTGCAAAGGTATAAATTATAAAGAAAAACTGAATAATTCCTGATTTTTCGTGTCAGCCATGTTTCAGTGACTGAAAAATAAATGTTATGTAAGAGAAATTTCTGCTTTCAAAGCTGTGGAATTATTGCAAGGTTGCTTCTTGATCCCTCATGTTAGCCAATGAAACAGTAATGCTACTAAAGAGATGGAGGAAAAGATAATACTTAGGATGCACAAGAGGCAGGATCCCAAGGGGACACACTGCTCTCAGGTATTTACTAGGGCTTCTCCTCTGGATGCCCTGAGGAATAGGATTTTAAATAAATATAGAGCAAAGTTATGCACAGGGATCTTTGAAAGAGGAATTAGAAGGTCAGTCATAAAAGGCTAAACTCAGCTTTTAATTAACAGAGAGTTTAAGAAAGAAATAGCTATGCTAAGACAGTCTGAAGAGATCTTCCTTTCTACTTTCAAAAATGAAACTGATTTCAGTTTAGTATCACTAAATATCACAATAGAATCTGAACTAAGAATTTAATCCTTACAGTTGTGAGTAGAAACAGACTTCTCATATCCTAAATAGAATCAAATCTTTGTCCTGCAGTGGCAACTTACCCTGAAGATAAAAAGAAAAGGCAAGCT